CTCAGACCCTCCATGGCATCACTAGCTCAGACCCTCCATGGGGTCTGAGCTAGTGATGCTCTCCAACGCCCCGGGGATGTACTTCACCGAACAATGACTGGACCCCTCTGATCAGTTCTGCGACAGGTCAGAGCAGCTGACAGGAACCACAGCTGGAGAGCTGAGACAACATCTGTTTAGGTTTGAGTGTAAAAAGCAACAACACACCTGCGTCGTGCACGAGTAAATGTGCTTTCAGCTGCTCCTTCTTCAGGGGTCACCACAGAGAACTAACTCACACCAAGACCTGGTGACTGAAGAAGTAGCAGCTGAAAGAAGAAGAATAAAAATATCTAAGATGGTCAGTCCGTTCCCTCAGGAACGACGAGTCATAAAGTTCAAAGAGAAACGGAGGTTTTAATTCAAGTCTTTCTGTGCTCCGAGGACAAACAGGAAGTGGACAGGTAGGAACACACGAGTACCTGCTGCTGCTCCAGTTGTGTCTTGTTGTGTCGGATGATGTTGCCTTTCTCCAGCAGCTCTTTGGTTCTTCTCGAACTCTTCTTTCCCCTGACAGAGCGACAGACAACTCTGTCAGACAGTTCTCACTCTGCTCCATGTAGCGTGCACCGTCAGGGTGCACACATTGCATCCAGCTCTGACGCGAGGTTTTGAAGTTTGCCAAATCATGGCGCTGCAGCTTTGAGGAGACGTTGTGTTTTTTGTTTGAAAGAGTTAGTTTGACAGGGACATGCACACAAACATGGAACAGAACAAGTCTGTGACTGACACGTCGCACAAAGAGTAGAGAGCTGCAGCTAATTCACAACTCCAGTCCCTGGCTGGACATTTCTATCCATTAAAATACAATTTATCAATCAAAATACAGTAGGAGTACCTACATATTCATGTAATCAACCTAACAACCTCCAAATTCATATAATAAAAACTATACATTAAAATACAAACAGTTAACTGAGCTGATCAGATCAGTCATGGTTTAGTCTTTTCCTTGCAGTTCTACATTAAAGTCATTCAACATGTTGGTCAGATCTTTTAACAATGTGAAGTCTAGAAGCCTCTGGTGGTTTTTAACAACGAGTCAGCAGCTTCAACAAATGCCTCTTTTATTATCTCCATCTTGGAAGGACTTCTTGTGCTTAACAAGTGACTCACCTGGAATGATGCCTTCGCTGTTGTGGTCAGCTGTGAGAAAGATGACTGCTGTCAGGAAAACTGGGGTTTTAGTTCCTTCATCTTTTTCTTTCTCAGTTCGTGTTTCAGAAGGAAGTCAGTGTCGTAGTTTCTGTGAACAGTCTGAACATGCTGCTCCACATTTCCCTTCTTCGAAGTAGAAATGGTAAACTGGCAGATGAGGCAAACGCACTTCCAATACGACTCCTCCCATTCCGTATGAAAAGTGTAGGTGTTTTGCTTCTGACTTGGTCCATCTCCTCCACTCATTTGGCCCTTTCTTGAGTTTAGAAGAAGTAAACTGGAGGCTAACTAGGCAACTTGCTTGCTAGTTTTTTTTGCACAGTTTTATGTGCATGTGTGGTGACCCTTGAGTCAAAAAAGATCTGATCTCAGACTGGCTACCCGGTCTGTCAATCAAATGTCAAATTTCATAGATGGGTGATAGGCTGACGACGATGTTTTTAATGCCATGTGATCTACCCATAATATCTTTGCAATCGACCAGTAGATTGCGATCGACCAGTAGATTGCGATCGACGTATGAGGCCCCCCGATGCAAAGCATCTTGGCCAACAACAGTTGTTTTTACATGTTTTGATGCATGAAGTGCTTTTGATTGATTTGAGTTGATGGATTTTGATAAAACATTCAGAAAGTAATCACTGGATGTAGACTACATCTACAACAGGCTATAATGAGTGGTGGGCACAGCTAAACAAAGTTATCTTCACTAATTCACCAATAAAATTAGATTTGCTAATGTGAAACCACTAAACAAATTTAAAACATGATCATAAACTAATTTCACTAAAGGTTTTCAAAGTTAGTGAAAATGCTAATCCGCTAAACGGACAGTTAGTTCCACGATTAGCAGATTAATGGAACTGTTCCCACCACTGACTATAATGTTCATTCATCCAACCTTTAATTAGAAATATTAATCCCATTGAGCCTCGAGGACTTTTTTACAAGAGAGACCTGAACGTACTCAAAATTTCAGAGGTCAAGTTGATGCAGAAGTAGCTGAGAATCCTCCTCAGAACACACTCCGAGCATCAACATTTCACAAGATGCAACTACGGCGGCCATTTAAAACGCTCATGAAACTTTAAAACGTCTTCAGTTGATCCAAAATGCTGCTGCCAGAGTCTTAACTGGAGTTACTGGGAGAGATCATATCTCTCCAGTTTTAGCTTCTCTCTATTGGCTCCCTGTCAAATCCAGAATAGAATTCAAAATCTTACTTCTAACCTACAAAGCCCTCAACAACCTAGCTCCATCTTATATTACAGATCTTATTGTTCCATATTTTCCTAACAGAGCACTTCACTCTCAGACTGCAGGTTTACTTGTGGTTCCTAGAGTTTCCAGCAGCAGAATGGGAGGAAGATCTTCCAGTTCTCAGGCTCCTCTCTTGTGGAACCAACTTCCAGTTTCTGTCCATGAGACTGACACATTGTCTAGTTTAAAGACTGGGATTAAGACTTTCCTTCTTGATAAATCCTATAGTTAGGGTTGGCTTGTTATGCTGCTATAGACTTAGACTACTAGAGGACAAACTGACCTCATGTCCTTAAATGAATTGTTAAAATTGAATAGTTTTCATTTGATACTATTTCTATCATAACATGTGATTCTTGACCTGCCATTGTGTATCTATTCCTACCAAACCCAGCCGGTCGAAGCAGATGGTCCTCTTGTCCTGATCCTGGTTCTGCTAAAGGTTTCTTCCTCATGAGGGAGTTTTTCTTTCCACTGTCGCCTTCATGCTTGTTCAAGATGAGAGTTCAGTGATGGAGTTAAACTCAAAGCTGCTCCTCAGATAAATAATGTTCAATTATTATTTTATACATGAATGTTTCTGTTCAATTATTATTTTATATTTGAATGTTTCTGCTCAGGGCAGCACGGTGGCGCAACTGGTAGAGCTGCTGCCTCTCAGCGAGCAGGTCCCTGGTTCAAACCCCGGTCCAGAACCTTTCTGGGTGGAGTTTGCATGTTCTCTCCGTGCATGCGTGGGTTTTCTCCGGGTACTCCGGTTTCCTCCCACAGACCAAAAACATGCATGTTAGGCTGATTGGTAACTCTAAATTGTCCCTAGGTGTGAGTGAGAGAGTGAATGGTTGTTTGTCTCGTTTGTCTCTGTGTGTCCCTGTGATGGACTGGAGACCTGTCCAGGGTGTCCCCCGCCCCTCGCACAGTGATTGCTGGACATGGGCACCAGCGACCCCCGTGACCCAAAATGGAAGAAGCGGGTAAAGATAATGGATGGATGGATGGATGTTTGTGTTCAGTCCCTGACGTGACTTCTGTTGTGACTTGGAGCTTTAGGAATAAGCTGGACTGATGAAAGGTTGTTGGAGAAACGTGTTCGTTCAAGGAGCGAGTGCTTTGACTTCAGATCGTTTGATGCTCGTTAACACGAGAAGCTGCATCTGTGATGGTTACATGACTTTTTACTGTTGCTGTAAGAAATCAAGGTGGATGATAATAAAGATCAAACTAAGGATCGTAGAGTTTTAATGAACCAGCAGTTCTCACTGGATCCAGCGGGGATTTAAAAACAAACCATTAACTCCACCAATACACCTTTTTTTTTACTTCAAGAAACTTCAAAAGTAGAGCTAATTTGAACTTTTCTGATTTAAAACAAATTATGAATCTGTCTAAATTTCAGACTTTAAATTAATTTACTGGAAAGTGAACAAGATTTGTCGTTTTATTTCCTGTGTGTGAAAAAGATGAACACAGAATCCATCCGTCTGAATTACACAGATTGTTTTCCAGTTAGCCCAGCATGCTGGTTGTTGCTACCAGGGAATGGTGTTGCCTTCCCAGCTCAGGAACGTCCCAGTATGTCTCTTGCTCAGAGATGACATCACCCCCAGCATGCTGACCACACTGTCCTCCGGGGTGAGAGGAGCCTGCATGGGAGAACAAACATGATTTTCTTTTAAAAATGACCACATTCCGTCTGTAATTAGTGTTTTCTACTTTAAAAGAAAGGTCATGTGACACGTTGAACGTGTGCAGGGGAGTGGGAGGCATTTAAAGCCCCACGTTCTCTGCACAGGCAAAAACACAAAACTTTAATTTAACAAGAGTACCGCATACGCCCTTCAACAAAACCATTGTACACCAATCTACAGCCACGAATAAGCAAATGCGTTGAATAACCTTTGACCTTTACCTGGAGCTGGAGTGATGAAAAGATTATGCACACCGTCTAGTGGTGGTACAACTTCGTATCAAGTTTTGTTAAATGATCTTGTTTTATGGGCGGGACCAGAGAGAGTTTCAGACAGAGACTACACGGTAACACCGTGACAGAACCATACCATAATACTTGCGTCTTTCGACAGGTGCATTTAGTAATATCTACGGTAGCATCTGAGAAACTCAGAAGGATTTTCTCCAAGCACGACATCCCGGTACATTTCAAACCCAACAGGACTCTCAGAGGCTGGACAAAACACCCAAACACAAACCGAGTGGTCTGCGGTCCAGTGCAGCGAGGACTGTCCAGACCTCTACGTTGGAGAAACCAAACAGCTTCTTCAGACGCATGACTCAACACAGGAGAGCCAGCTCTTCAAGACAAGACTCGGCTGTTCTCCTGCACCTCACCGATAAGGGACACTCGCTTCAGGACCAAAACGTTCACATTTTGGACCGAGGAGATGGTTAGAGAGGGGAGAGAAGGAGGCTGCTGATGTAAAACGAGAGAAACATCTTTAAACAGAGGAGGAGGCCTCAGACTTCAACCCTCTAAAACTTATAACGCAGTTTTAGGCCTGATACTCAGCCAGTTGAACACCAACCAAGACCTCCATTCATGTGTCCAGAGTCTGCGAGTCAAACTAACAAAGACCACCCCGGTTGGACCTGGGGTCTTTCTGTGTGGAGTTTGCATGTTCTTCTCATGCTTGCATGGGTTTTCTCCAGGTGCTCCAGTTTCCTCCCACAGACCAAAAACATGCATGTTAGATGCCTTCAGGCCCAGGCCTCCCTTGTAAAATAGATCTGTGATCTCAGTGGGACTTGCCTGGTTAAATAAAAGTTAATAAATAAGTAATGATCCTCTGTTGTGAGGAGTGAGAGGGCAATCTGCATGTGTCAGTCTACAATCTTACAAAATATCTCAGCTTCATAACTTGAATCCCACTCTCTGTTGTTTGAAGTGAGAAAGCTCCTCGGACGAGAAGAGAAACGTCTCCAGCTACAGAACAAAGTCCAGTAGTTTTGACTTGGATCTTGTTGGGATTTACCAAGTCCTGTATGACTGAGAATCTTCACCAGAATAAAACCTAGAGACGCAGCAGTTCCTGTGAGAACGCAGTGTGAATGCTTGTTGCCAGATGATGTTGATGAGTAATGATGAAAGCTGCTGAACAAGTTGAAGCTTACTTGAAATACACCAAGAGCTAAAATGTTGAAAGGAGAAGCTGAAAAAAGACAAGAAGGCTGACGGACAATAAAAAAGCTGAATTTAGAAGGAAGCTTAACAGAGCACAAACAGCTAAACTTTAATCATTAATTTAAATAAGTAAATTTACATAATGATCTTGAAGCTTTTACCTTTATTTAGAAAAGGAAGCAGTGTTGCCTCACCTGCTGTCCTCCCATGTCGGTGCGAACCCAGCCGGGGTGGATGGCCGTCACCAGAACCTTGTGACGCTTGAAGTCCTCGGCTTGACAGCGAGTCAGCATGTTCAGGGCTGCCTGGTGGCACACCAAGCTCCAAAGATTACTCACAAATTACAACTGTACACATCTGGAATATCACAAGGGAGAAAAGTCTTGAAGTTAACATCTGTTGAAAGAAAATCATAAATATGCTTGTATGTATGTATATTTATATATATTATATATATTTTTTCTTCCAGTTAAAACAACTAAGTCAAAATTAGTGAAATGCTTTCTAACTCTCTGTATGTGAGTATGGGGTTCCATTAGTGCCCAAAAAATGTTTGTGTCTATGTAAAGTGTTTATGTTGCATGCTGTGTAAATGTAAGGTGATATGTTAAGTGATATGTTAGCTGATGTAACATATCACTTAACATACACCCAACACGCTACATATTCACTTTACAGAGACACAAACATATTTTTGGCACCAATGGAACCCCACATGGTGTGTTGTAATTCATGTCACGGATGACTCTCGTTAAAAGTGGGACCATTTTTTAAAAATTGAATAGCTGCTGTAGGCCACAGCCACTCAGAGTCTCCCGGTCCCTCACAGCCGCCCTTCTCCCATTGTTGTGAACTGTCGTGAACTTCCACCTACAGGACTGCTGTGGGAACATGAACATAGAACTGGAACAGTCTAACTACAGAACACGCTACACTACCAACAGCGACAGAGTTGATTTTAACATTTTATTTTCATCTGCCTATTCGTTCCAACTGCTGTTACTTTCTAAAAGAGTTCGCTGAGAAAAAACAACAACTACAGCTGCTCCCAAATATTGTTAGTGTTTTATCAGGTGTACTTTTAGTAATTGCTCCATTTGATAAGAAAGAGCAGAAACAATCCAAAACACTGCAACAACTATGATTCCATATAAAATGGAAACACTGTGTAAAATATAAATGAAAACAGAATGCAATGATTTGAAAATCTCACAATTTATATTTTATTTACAAGTTAACATATTAATAAATAAGCAAGGGGTGTCCAGATGTTTTCATCATGGAGCTCCTTTTAAAACCACCAAGTCAAAGTGATCTACCTGCTATAAGATCCCGATCACACAGAACCTCAGGAAACTTTAGTGTTTTTTTTTTTTTTTTAAGTTTATTGAGGGTAACAAACAAAAAAATGAGCAGGTTAAAAACAAAACACTGTCATTTCCAGAGTTTATTAGTTTTGTTCCTACATGATGGAAAAGGCTGAGCAGCACAAAAACACTCTACTCTTTGCCATTTATTATAACTGTTGTTATATTTATTATAACTGTTGTTATATTTATCATAACTGTTGTTATATTTATCATAACTGTTGTTATATTTATCATAATTGTTGTTATATTTATCATAACTGTTGTTATATTTATCATAACTGCTGTTATATTTATCATAACTGTTGTTATAATTATCATAACTGTTGTTATATTTATCATAACTGTTGTTATATTTATCATAACTGTTGTTATATTTATCATAACTGTTGTTATATTTATCATAACTGTTGTTATATTTATTATAACTGTTGTTATATTTATTATAACTGTTGTTATATTGGTTATAACTGTTATAT